TATATGAATGTTTGACTTCAAATCAGAGTACCATTTTTATGCGACACGTTTAATTTATTAATTCAATAAATATATTTTTATATTGGGGTATAACAAACATTAATGCATGGGCAATTCGTTGGAACACCTAGCAATGGCGCCATCAACGACAGGCTATGTTGCGAATGGTACTTGTAATACCAGTGATTATAGAGAGAATAGCCATGTTTGAAATCACAGCCTCCTGGTATGATAGGGGAATCAAAACGATGCATTGTGGGAAACAAATTATCGTCTCCGAAAATATCACGAAAATTCGGGCGAAGAAGAAAGAAGCGCAAAAGAAAGAAATGCTGACGAAAACTATTTTCGCTTATCCCTACTCCCTCGATTCATCCCTCAGTAATAGTGATGCAGTCCGTACAAGTAAATCTCATGTCATGCCACAGGTAGTAGACATTTCTATGCGATATGTTACGTCATCCTTGACGTTAAAAGTACGTGTGCTGGTGACTGAAATTCATGAGTTAAATTGAACAAAGTGTGTCATTTGTTGGTGACTGAAATTCATGAGTTAAAATTGAACAAAGTGTGTCATTTGTTGGTGACTGAAATTCATGAGTTAAATTGAACAAAGTGTGTCATATGCTGGTGACTGAAATTCATGAGTTAAAATTGAACAAAGTGTGTCATTTGTTGGTGACTGAAATTCATGAGTTAAAATTGAACAAAGTGTGTCATTTGCTGGTGACTGAAATTCATGAGTTAAATTGAACAAAGTGTGCCATTTGTTGGTGACTGAAATTCATGAGTTACATTGAACAATGTGTGTCATTTGCTGGTGACTGAAATTCATGAGTTAAATTAAACAAAGTGTGTCATTTGCTGGTGACTGAAATTCATGAGTTAAATTGAACAAAGTGTGTCATTTGTTGGTGACTGAAATTCATGAGTTAAATTGAGCAAAGTGTGTCATTTGCTGGTGACTGAAATTCATGAGTTAAATTGAACAAAGCGTGTCATTTGTTGGTGACTGAAATTCATGAGTTAAATTGAACAAAGTGTGTCATTTGTTGTTGACTGAAATTCATGAGTTAAATTGAGCAAAGTGTGTCATTTGTTGGTGACTGAAATTCATGAGTTAAATTGAGCAAAGTGTGTCATTTGTTGGTGACTGAAATTCATGAGTTAAATTGAACAAAGCGTGTCATTTGTTGGTGACTGAAATTCATGAGTTAAATTGAACAAAGTGTGTCATTTGTTGGTGACGGAAATTCACGAGTTAAATTGAACAAAGTGTGTCATTTGCTGGTGACGGAAATTCACGAGTTAAATTGAACAAAGTGTGTCATTTGCTGGTGACGGAAATTCACGAGTTAAATTGAACAAAGTGTGTCATTTGCTGGTGACTGAAATTCATGAGTTAAATTGAGCAAAGTGTGTCATTTGCTGGCGACTGAAATTCATGAGTTAAATTGAGCAAAGTGTGCCATTTCAGTGCGGTACTACTCATGTTATTTACGTTGTCCCGAATCATAGTCGGATTATCGGATAATGATCAAGATTCCTGTCAAATTATTCTTCTTAGTTATGTGTTTTCTCCAATTAGTATCATCTGGACAGCGCGTCTAGTCACGTGGTGTATATGTTTACTTCGCAATACCGCAATCTTATATTGACATCCAGATATATCCTATCGGTTGCCATGGTAATGGCCTGCTCACTGTTCATTGAGTATGCCAAAGGTAAACTGATTGTGGCTTACATATAGATAGAATTGATTAGTAATCTTAAGCGTACTTCTTCTTGTCCAACATTCGGATCGTTGTGCTAAGACTAGACTACATCAATATCACTGATTGCGATATAGCAATCTCAAACCCGCGACTTAAGTGTAATAAGGAGTCGACTATTTGAAAATATGAGGGGTGGCCGGTTTGTTTAAATATGCAAGCTGGACACAGAAAGAAAGAAAATTATGCAAGGGATAAAATGTTGGCACATTCAAGAAAATAAAATGTGCAGATGAGACACAGAGAAACAAAAATCGCCATGGCACTGGTCACCTCTTCTAGCCACCCCCACCTCCATAGTTTGGAAAGGTTATCCCATAAAGATAGAAAAGCGTTAACAACGACTCCGGCCCAACCAGTACCCCCCCCCCCCAGAGAAGCAGCACATACAATAGCCAGTGATTCTCGTGCTGTGATGTCACATGTGACGTAATCTCGGCTTTATCACGCCTGTGCATCATGGCGTGTGGTAATTGAATAGATACGAACATGTATATACAATGATGTTTGCCTAAATTCATTTGTTAAGTGCGTGTGTGCATCCCAGTACAGAGGTCTATTCATTGCGGATGAGTGTACGAGTGGACAAGAGAACATCGTGTTGAACAAGGCCTCTTGGTACCATGTTCGTTTCAGGTGTGCAAACATAAGATAAAGGACAAGTTTCCGACATTACAATTGCATAAGATGTCGAACTTATGAATGGTGTATAAAGTTTGATTACTCATCTACGGCGTAAAATATAAATAAAAATAACAAAAGTTTGTAGCAACTGCTGATTTGTTTCATTGGGTTGACCTTGGATAACCTTGGTCTTGGTATATGTAAAATAATGCACTCCTTACAGGTTGTGTTCGTTCTAGTGGTATTTCTGTAATCCGTGTATTGCAGCATTTTGTTGCCATGATTGTTTTGTTTGTTTTTAATTGACATGGACATCGTATCAATTGAGTCGTAAAACATGGCAATCAGTGTAGATTATCAAGTTGACAAATTTGGGAGTAACTCAGTCCAAATTCAGTGTATTTGTTTTTGTTTTTTTTACTCAGCCAACTGTATTGAGAAGTGTGCTTCTTGTATTTTATATCTTAAAACAAGTAATGATATGTTTAAATGTATTCTCGTGAGTTAAATTATAATGTCGGTATCATTGGCACAATATCTGAATCAATATATGGAATGAAGGCATCAATGCAAAACCAGTCTACAAATGTGTACATTCATTGCATGTCAGTTTGTCCGTTCCTGATTGTTTCCCGTTTGCACTTTTTTATTTGCACGTCCATGTTTCAAAAAGAATTTCAACAAATGAATAATTGAATAAATACTCATGATGTATGTATCTCGGGAGACAGTTTTATTATAAGCATTTAAAGCGCGGTGGTCGTCGCGCAGCGCGTGTTCGAATTTCATGTAAATAAACAATGTATTTTACACGCGTTGTATACGTCGCTATGAATCCCATATCGAACAGGGCGCGGCACGACGACTGCCGCCCTTTAATTTTAGCTTTAAAAACTTGCATAATAACAGAGGAAGTCGAGTAATTGCCTCGTGACCTCGACAGAATCAAGGTAACATCAAAATAGTGGGTGTCCGTGGTTTGTACAAATCTAAAACTGGTTTCAAAAGGTTGGAAATTACCCCAAAACTGGGGTTGGCCTGAAATGTACAATCCTGGATGCAGACCACATTCTCACGATTGTTATTAGACGATATGAGTAACACGTCTGCAGTCTAAACCTTTAAAATGATATGAAGTTTTAAATCACTATTTTAAAACGTTCTTTTTACACGTTTAGTGTCTTACGGCCTGTCCCAGTTTGAATAGTCTGGGCCCTGACGCTGTACTCTAAGAGGTCCAATCTATCGGGCACTAAGTACGCGTGATTGCGTGGGTACTTGGTGTTTCGTGCCTTATGTGGGACGTGTGCCCTGATTGTTACACACAATAGACAAGTTCTCGGTAATGTTTTTAATTATATAATTAAAAGTGTGTTCAAGTTGTTTGCAGCGGTGCCCTGATAAATGGACGCGTGGACAATGGTGGATACATCTAAGCGTCATAAACGAAATGAACGTTTAAATTTAATTCAGTAATGTTTTCCTAACATTTGCCTGGCGAGCAAACTTCCAATTCGTAACACAGTGTTTCTTGTATACGAGCTGGAACGTTCTGAAGTTTGGATTCATCTTGTGCCTGTTTACGTGAAAGGCTTTAGTGTACGTAAATCCCGCTACTTCATGAGATTCCCATAAATTTGTCTGCTTTGAAACCCGTACTGGTATCACGACAACCAACGCATTATATTGGTGCATAATATGTTTAGATATATCTACTGGTTTTCAAAACACGGAGTCTTCCTTTGTTAACCACGACGACAGACGTCATGACTTCGATCGTGTACACGTGGTTATCATGCTTAACCGGCACAATGTCACGTGATGCGAGTTGTTCTAGTTTGTGGTCTTCCAGTTAAAGGGCGGGGCTCATCATGCCGCGTCCTGTTCGCTATGGGACTCATAGCGACGTATACAACGCGTGTAAAATACATTGTTTATTTACATGAAATTCGAACACGCGCTGAGCGACGACCACCGCGCTTTAAATAAACACTCAAATTATATTTATTTGTTGAAACATAGCACAATTTAATATGTATTGATATTCAATTTAAAGACTGAGAAACGAGGCAAGATTAGTTGTTGTACGCCAATTCTAGTTCCATGTCCACTATTTTTCTCGTATCGGTGTACGTGTTGTCGTTGCTTTGTGGTGTAGTGGTGCAAGAATTAGTTTCTCAAACTTGAGCGTCCAAATGAGATACGACCCATTAAGCCGTTGAGGGGGCACTACACAATTGATCCTATTTTACACGGGCACCCTCTTCTAAAACAACTTGGCTTTATTGTGTTTAACTTGCTTGTTCATTGCTTGCACTGCGTGCAATTTGTATTCCCGTGCTAAAGTTTGGATTGCCATTCATGTATTACTTGCAAACAATAACATGAAATATGGCACTATAGAGAGACGTAACGAAGAACTACCGTGCACCCGGCAAATAATAGGCAAGTAATTGAAATATGCATATATACAGTAGAGTTTCGTCAAGAGACAATTCTTCATATTTATAAACAGTTCAATATCTATATATTATTCAATTTCAATAATATCTGTGTTCGAGCAACCTTCTCATCTAGCAACATATAGATCTTCTGTATAGCGGACCGAGATCAACGGAGATTTGAAAATAGCGCCATCTATGGTGCAATTGAGATGTGATCTGGTGGTACGATGGCGGTTATTTTTAAACGTGACGTCACGTGGATAAGCTACAATCCCGTTGTCCTAGTAACAATTAAGCACCTGTCTTCGGCACAGTATACAACGTTTCACCTGTTCGTTATTTGTCAATGCTGGCATTCGATATCCTATATTAGAATTCAAAACTCTCTTCTCCCGTGTTACAGTCCATGTTGTTTTCCTTAAAAAATAAATAAAAATAAACAAGAATTAATCGGGGTTGAGCGTGATAAAAATGATAGCCCATTAACAGAACTGCGGTTCTTAATTCAGCTACAAACAATGTATTTGAATTAGTGCAATTTACAAGTTGTTTGACTCAAATTTGAAACCCCCAACTTTAAGAGTTTCGAATAAGACGTGGGCGTGTTAACAACACGATCTTTTTTTTAATAAACTTGAGAAATTCCTCACGTTTCCATCAATCTATTTGTTGACATAATGCTAGCAAATAACATAAATATGCTACGTCCTAACACTGCTAAAGAAATTGCAAGACAATTCTAAAGATAACTAGAATTCCTGAAGTACACCATTGTGTGCCTTGCTTTATTATGTCAATGGTACTGTGTGATAGAGACAAAACAACTGAGGACGCAATAAACAAAATAGCTCATTAGCTTGAACTTGATAAATTCCTCCGTCACGCACTAATGGCGTTGTAGTGTGCCGGTCACACTGCCAAATTAATCGAGTCAAAGTTAAATCCGTTTTGATTCATTATATCTCTTCAATTCCGGGTGAACAATGAATCTGTCTGATTGAGAGCATATTTTGCATTAATGTATCGATGTGACCGGTATGAGTAGTAATTTGTCAGGCTTGTGACGTTTCCTTTCAGGCGCGTGGCTGTTTGCACACACAGCCCTCCGTGCTGATGGGAATCCCTTCCGGAGCGGAAAGAAATGAGCGTTTTGAAAATTTCATCATACTCAGCGACTGCACCTGCAGATGCGCATCAGTGGTTGTTTTGTACTCTGCGCAGGCAAGTGGAGAGGCAATGTCCGGCACGTGACTTCTCAACATGTCGTAAATTAATTATTCATTGATTTTGCAAGGTTAATCGTTTTGAAAAAGAAGTTATTAAAATAGGAAAATGAAAGAAGTGTGTGTGTGTGTGAAAAACGAGTCAGAATCTCTTTATGCGACGAGTAATCGTCATTTTCTGAGATTCTATCAGATGTAGTTATAGCCTTGTTACCAACTACTCGTGACTCTGCCGGGGAAACAAATTCTTTAGTGGTAGTGTATGTTAACAAACAAACTGTCAATCAGAAAAATCTAACAATTGTATCCATTGGCTAAACATACACAAATGCTAATGAATCAACTGAACCAGCATGCTGACGTCACATATCGAAATAATTTCTAAGAAATCATTATTGGTACATGTATTTGAAATGACTATAGCACCGCCATCATGACGGAGTGTTGTGAATGAGCATAACACACTGCTGTACCAATTGCTCACCCATTAGAAACATGCTTATTGGTATCATGGTTTTCATATAGTTACAATATGTTGTGTGTACTCTCAGACTAATTCTATATTAGTATGGGGTATAGGATTGTCTGAAGTAGTCTATTTTAGGTAAATGAATGATCACATTTCAATTAAGACAGAATCACAATAAACACTGACGGTGATGATCTCACTAGCAGTAACAATTCAGTGGGCGACTAATATTAGAAAAAGAGTGTGTCTTACAAATTAAAGATAGGAAGGGGGTCTTGCTGACAAAATGAAAATCAAATATCAACCTATTGTTGTGCGGCGTTGCTGAGTTAATTTGCATACGTTTAAGGACACGGGTGTTGTCTGTTATTTGGGGTGAATTTGCCAACGGAGATGAATCAAAGTTAACTGGGGTTATTTTGTCATTATACCCCCCCCCCCCTCGTCGCGCACTTGACACCCCCACCACAACACACAAACCCATGCAAAAACACACACTTCACTCCCAGAAGCTGACTTCACAATTTATCATACGATCTATCAAGACGAATACTATTTTATAACAACTTGTCTTTTTTACAGCAATCAATCAAAGAAAGAAATTCTATAAGGAAACCGGAAAGCAAATAAATGATTTCACAAATTTGACAGAATAGAACAAATTTGTAATAATAATGGGAAATAAAAATGGCCAAATTTAAAAAAAAATTATTATGAGACAACATCTCTTGTCGGCTTACCATGACCACAATCTTGTTAAACGTCGTATTTTCGTATGTTAGTGAATTTTGTAAATTTGTTTTCCATTTTTCATTTTTTACTATAAATATTTTTTTTATTGGCTTGTAGTTTTTAGTGACCTTACTACTGTACTTTCCTAAGTCAGTGTTGTGTCAATTAATAACGCTGCTTCATTGAAGTGATTGATTTTGTTGCTTTATTTATGAATACACCAGATTAGATACTTGGTTGCTCTGGGCACATTCATGTGTGATCAGTTACCAAATAAAATTTTCTCAAAATTTCTTTGACTTTTAAGTTTTGGAAATGTCAATTTTAGAGCAATTTATAATTTGTTCCTAAAAAGATGGAAAGATCTCCACGTATCTCAAAATTGTGTATGATAGCATCGGATAAAAACATCACATGTATTTATTATATGCATACTCATTTTTATTTATTTTGAAATAATGCTTTGAAGTAGAATCTTCATTGTTGCATTTTCGTGCAATTTTCGTATCAGGAAAAAGAAATATTAATTACTTAGCAATTGTAATATTGAAGCGACTTAACGTAATCTGACGTCATGTAAACAATAAATAAAAAAAGTGTGAATAGTGATATGATAATGACAATTGCATTCCCAAAATTCATGATAACTAGTTTGGAATGTTAACGTTTTATTGTGAATTTTATCGTAGGTGTTGGGATTAGAACAATGGTCGTCGCGAATCACCGTGTTTGATATCATGCGGGACCTATGCGACGCATAATACGCTTGAAAATAACGATGTTTGTTTACAAGATGAATTAGAACACGTGCTGCAACTGCCTCTTTTGCTTGCTTGCGACTATTAAAAATAGCAATGGCTTTTTTTATTCTATGCTATCGATAAAGAGCTATTTTTAATAGTTACTTAGGACTACGATTACCAAATATTATCTTCTATATATCACATATATCAGTCCGAACAGCGTTTATTAATTTATTAACTATTCATCTTATTCTGCACGTACCAAATACAAAAATTATAAAAGAAAAAAACTTACCATGTCAAACCCAAGCCATTCAATGTTTGTGCCGTGGTGTTCGTTAATATTCGGAGAATGTTGTTCTGGTTGGTCGTTGCCATAGTTACTGTCCTTCAATAAACTCTGCAAATGCAGAATATAATTAATTGCCGATCGTAATGTCTTGACTTTTGAAAGTTTTTTATTTCTTGGATCGGTCGGTACATGTCGACGCAGACGAATAAATCCGTCGTTTACCATCTGTACTCTGCGTCTTTCACGTGCGTTTCTCCGGGCAACCAGGTGTGGCTCCTTTTCTCTGTGCTGCTGTCTTGGAGGGTTCCTTGAAATGGCTGCAACCGTAGAACGAACTCTACGATGACGAGCTCTATTGGACGTCGCTATCACGATTGACGACCCACTGACGGTATTATGATTTGCCGTCGTCATTGGACCGATGTTTGAACCGCCAAATGCCTGTTGTTCCATTCCAGTCAAATTCCGTCAAATGTCGACACTTTAAAGTGGGCGATATACACTCTTCGTTCCAAATTTTCGTTGAAATATATGTCGATTTTTATCGCGTGTAGAAATGAATGGATGGAACGATATCGAAATGTCCTCAGTTCTGATTCATAATCACTCCGAGTAGACTATAAATACCCTGATATTCAATTAAAGTTGTAAGGAAATGAAGTCTTTCCTGGCTCGCTCTCATACTTAATAATTAATGCGCCTACTTCCCGATCTAAAAGTTGTAACCATTTACAAAACGATTTAATGTATTTATTGTCATGGTGTTAACCACGTGTTATCCCATAATATCCCATTATTTTGTCGACGCCCCCAAATTGTCATAAATAATTGTTCTCCGTCGCTTCACTATATCTCTCAGATACACATCGTTGTTTTGGAGGACAATCACTCTACTAAGGAGAAAGGTTTTCTGATTTAGCAGTTCGTTTTTGACGAAGTCTTCTTAATGTATTTTACATGCGTTGCACGCGTTGCGTGGGACCCTTGTCGGAAACGACGTGTTCTTGCGACTTTGTCGATTTTAGAGATCAGTCGTCGCCACTTTCGCTGTCAGTCTGTTAATAGCACATTCGTCTAGCTCGTAAACCTAGATTTAAGTGGAAAAGCAAATTATGTTTTTACTTCCAGTACCACTTACTAGTAAAAAGCCATGACACGTGCGCGTTGCGATTGACCATGATAATAATACCACGTGAGAGATTAATGAAATAGCGAACAGCAACTGTTACCGCTAATGTAATTGTCTTGGGTGAAAGAAATATCGTTAACAACGCATTCGAAAGTATTTGAGCTTTTATAAAACTCACATGCGCTACTTACAAGCAATTCTATTTTTTTTTCAAATCATATTAATTCTGTTATGACATACCATATGGCATCACCAAAACCCGGCAGTGTTGCATATAGTGGGGTGCAAGCTAAGCTGCACATTTGCCGGTGATGGGAACCAACTTGAAGCTAAATTTCATTGTTGCTCGTGGTAGGACCAACTTACGCAGCGTTTAGTTGTTAATGGTGGCTGCTTTCTTGCTTGTGATGGGGACCAAGTTACGCTGCGTTGTGACTTTAGTGGTGGGAACAACCCACGACGCATTGTTGTTACTGATGGGTACAATGCCAAGCTGTGTTGATGCATACTAGTATATAGTGGAGACCAGGTAGACTGGCAAAGTCTGGGCGATTTATTTCAATTGAAAGTTTAAATTAAATAAAAAATATAGCGAAATGGGCAATTTATTTCTATTTAAAGTTTAAATTAGATAACAAATATCGTGAAATGGAGGTGTTAACGAGAAATCCCTTGTAACCGCGTGGTTTCGCGTTCAAAACTTCATGGGGACCAGGCTAAGTTGAATTGTTGCTTATGATGGGTACCAAGCCAAGGGACCAGGCCAAGTTACCTGTTTGCGTGTGCTAGGAGCCAAACTTAGGTGCGTTAATGCATGTAGTGCGAACGACGCAAAGCTGTCTTGATGCTTGTAACGGAGACTATGCTAAGCTGCATTGTTGCCTGTGGCGGGACCAGGCTCATTTACGTTGATGACTTCAGTGGGAATCAAGCTATTTTGCGTCACGGTTGTTGCATTAATGTAGGGACCAAGCTGAACTCTTACTGTACGTGTCCGTTACTGTCCCCAGACCAAGCTAATGTACATTGTTTCTTGAGGCAAGCGACCAAGTTCAGGCGCATTGTTGCGAATGGTGGGACCATGGAGGGACCAAGCTAAATTTGGTTGGTGTGTGCGGTGGAGATGAAATAAAACTACGTGTCTGTGATAGGGTCAAATCTCAGGTGCGTTGATGCCTGTGATAT